AAGAGTGTTGGTAAACGGTATGTCCAAAGAGACATGGTTTTAGACATTATCTTCGTTGTGTGAATGAGGTGCTTAGATACATTCTGCATTCTCTGACCTTCATTTAAGTGACTGGGGTCATGGTTTATCCTTAGTTTTCAGAAACGAGAATAAATTTTATGGAAGAAATGCGTTCTTTTCCCCCTTAAGATTTTTATTTCCTTCATACTACTTTCTAAGTATTCCTTCACTGGTTTGTTTTAGATTCATTTGCCATGGGCTCATCAATGGTGAGAAGTACATTTTTAGAGTCAGAGCTGTTAATGCAGCGGGACTCAGTGAATTTTCACAGGATTCGGAGCCTATAGAAGTGCAAGCAGCCATTGGTAAGCTATTTTCCATTGCTCTTTTCAACAGTGAATATGCTTTTTTTAATTAAGTAAAGATGTTTTCAGCAACTACTTGTAACTAATTGTTTTGGTTTACAATGCTGTCCACAAATAATAATTTATCCATAGATCCTATGGTCTCACAGCCATAGTTTCACAGTCACTGCACTCTTGTAGACTGTTCACCTTCACCATCCAGTCTTCTTCAGGTGTTTCTTGTGAACCACTGTAAGAGAACACTGCCAAGTTCACTTCATAGGTATCCTGGAAAATGGAATGTCATTCTGATTCCATAATGTGGTATTTATCACCTCTAATGCACACCATCCTATACAGTCAGTTCCTAAGAAATTTGTTTCCATACCTAAACCTAATAATCAGTGCAATGTGTCTTTTATAAACCTTCTGTAACCCTGTGTGTTCTCCCTTTGTTGATGAATTATTTCTGCTTGCCACTGCCTGAACTAAACCACAAAGATTAATGAGATCACTGGGCTAGAATAAATTGTACATCTGCAACACCCTCACTCTCATTTGTATCAAAACTGCATACCTCACAACCTTAGAGCAGGGAGATGTGGCCTAGGGCAATTTTGTGAGATCATCTTGAAAGGATCAGAAATATGACTTGGAAGATCTAATACTAAAATAATTGTAGCAAATGAAGATTACTATTAACTTTCCATATTTCTTCTGCTCTGAAAAGTAGACATTATCAAAAGAGCATTACTTGTGAGCCGGTTGAGAGGTATTCTATGCATTTCAAATTTTTGTGCATTCAAGCTTAACATTTTGTGTGTAAAACCTGTGATTTGTCATACCTTGGCTGTATTGTTCACTGTATGCATGTCTTCATTCTGTTGACTAAATGAAGAAAAAAGAATGTATTCTAACTCAAAATGTCTTTGCTGTTTTCTGGCAATTATAGGGGGAGGATTGCTTCATGGTGTGTGTCCTGAACTGAATGGTAAAGCTGGTGGACTAACAGACCGCACTACCAGCTGGGAAGGCATGCATGAGTCTTCCCAGCCTATCTTTGACACAGATGCTTTGCTAAAATGCAATGCTAAATTTAATAGAGACACACTACCCAGTAGCTCTGACAAACTGGGGAGTACAGGAGACAATAACCTGAGGGAAATGGTTAAGGACGCTGTCACATCTGCACCACAAAAAGTTGCTGCTAAGCAGGCAAGTAAGTCTCGACCCGGGGATCTTTTGACACCGGAAAAAGTGACAAAGAAGAAAGATACAGGTGAGAGTTAATAAAATAAATAGATTTCACTGCTTTGGTACATCCACTTCAGATGGTTGTAACCTCTGCTCGTCCGCACCACAAGTGAACGTGCTCTCCAGTGATGCATCTTCCATCAGACCCGTTAATTACGTGCTCAACTCTCCGTTAAGATCATTATGCATGTAATGGTATCGGAAACCACTTTACAAACTTGATGGCTACTGAAAGTGAAACATATAAATCTGTTTACTAATTTAATAGCTTGTTTGACATATTAATGTATCCAAGATACTGTATTTTTTCTAAATCACTTCAGTAATTTGTTAGGAGACTTCTTATCTAGTCTCTGGGTTATGTACATGTGAAGGAAACAAAATCTGATTGTGATGGTAAGCATGAAAATCTGTGTTGTGTTAGGATATATGAAGATCCTTTGTGGATTTATGCCTAAGCTACAGTTTATCCTCTGAGACACAGTGCTAATGAATGTTGTGTTGTACCTCTGACTGACAGCAATATGTGATGAGGAAAACCTATCAAGTTGAAGGCACATGCACAAAATCACGTTTTATGTTGTCAACAGTTAAACACCCATTGTGCCCGAGAAATGTGGGGCTTGAATTTCATTTAAGTCCTGGTACCTGTCCAGTGAACTGAATTCCTCCCCAGTCCTCTGAAGTGAGACTCAAAAGGCTTGTGCAGAATGTTGAACAGAAAACAAAGTAGAGGCACCTGTGGCTAGCTGACACTGGTATAAAACGTTAAAGACAAAAGGAAACATATATGATATAGGATTTCCATCAAAAGTAGGTCTTCAGGGTCACAAGTAGGGCTCTTCACTGGTGCATGACATACTGGGTGTGGGCAAGCATTTCCCCACTAGATACAGAAAAGGCTTTATAAGAAAATGGGTTGGGATGAAGTTACTGATTTCTGTATTGTTAAAAAAAAAATTTAAAAAGAGGATTATGCAGCAAATTTTTTAATGTAAGTTCCAGTAACAGACATGTTCCATTTCTGGTCAGTCTACAGTGCCTATGATCACGCTTCCTTCCATTAAGGTAAGATCATGTGACGGGTGCAATGATAAAATTTGCACAGTGTATAAATTTAAAAAAAAAAAAAGAATGAACAGATAAACTCCATTCTCTGAAGGGAAGAATGTAGGCCTATTTAAAAAAAGGAACTACAACGAACATTGTATGTATGAAAAAGGGTTTGCTTTCAGCAAAAGAAAACAAATCATTGCATCTCCAATTTTTTTACTTTTCCTGTAATGTTAGTTTTAGTTCCCCTTTTTTCACAGTTTTAAAGCAAGTCCTGATCACTTACATCAAAGCTGCAATTGCAACACATTCTTTCACTATGTATCAGCTTGCTTCTCAAAAAACAAATGATCCTGAAAACTAATTCCTATGCAGTTTGGACTTTTTCATTTGGTTTATGGAAGCTTTTATCCTGCATTTCTTATTCCAACTCCAGAAACTTCCCTTGACCATATAAATATCATCCTAATTAGGAAATGTAGGATGGGAGCCACCTGAATACGGTAATTGAATGCCAGTCTGACTATAGAAATATTATTTCCTACTTATGTACTATTCATGTTGAAACAGCTGCTCCATCTCCACCTTATGACATCATGGTACTTGAGAGTGTTCGTGACTCGATGGTATTAGGATGGAAACAACCTAAAGTCACTGGTGGAACTGAAATTACCGGCTACTACGTGAACTATCGTGAAGTGGTTGATGGAGTTCCTGGGAAGTGGATGGAGGCCAACATTAAGGCCGTTAGTGAGAGGGCATACAGGGTAAGAGGTTAACTTCTGTTATTGCTGTGGGTGCAGACAATATTTCCAAAACAGATCTCAAAGACAGATTGGGATGAATTATAATTCAGTGTACAGATTGCTATTCAGAGGGTTTTATATCCATGATGATAAATTTATTTAGCTCTGTTAAACTTCTCTGCAAAATTTGTACACTTATCTGTTAGTCTGGCACCAACCGTCATCTGTGAATGCACTATTCTAGACACAGCCTGAATTTTTGTAAGTCAGGCCCTCACAACAAATGGCATTCCTACTGGGCTTGGTGGACTACCCCCGTGTTTGCTGGTTCTGGAACCAGCTGAGTTTTGTCATCAGTTCTTGACCCAATTTAGAGATAGTGCTAGCTACAACCTCGTTGAGCTGCTTTACAAATGAAAAGCAATGCCAGGACTGAGTTTCACCCTGCTGTGAGGACAACTCTTGCCTTAAGTGAACTTGCTCTGTATCACAAGACAGATTAATATGATTGTTGAGCAATACCATGCTCCCTCCCTGACTACCAAAGTTGTCTATAAATAGGAAAAGGGGTTTACAATTTGAGCATGTTAAGACCATTCATGCTCCACCATTGATTAGAGGAAAAGCCAAGATAGTTATCACCTTATGTATGATGTCAATAATGCTTTCATCTCTCAGGCACTTAAAAGCATGCTCATGTGTCAAGAAATTGTCATTGTGACTTTCTCTGAAAGCCTTAATCCAACGTTAATAAGCATCTTATTTTGATTCTGCAGATTGCAAACCTGAAGGAAAACATGGTGTACCAGTTCCAGGTGGCTGCTGCTAACCTGGCTGGGGTTGGGACACCCTCCCTACCCAGCCAGCCCTTCAAATGTGAAGAATGGACCATCGCTGTACCTGGTAGGATGCTGAGTGGGAGGTTACTCACAGCCTACTGGTGCTCTGTGACCTATTATCTAAGTTCTCAATGACTTCAGTTTCCAGGGGAGTCAATGGGCACTGAAGTTCATACTCAGGCTTGAATCTCCATCACTTTGATTTAGTTTATTTACACTGAGGCATTAAACGATCCCCATTCGATCAGTAGCATTTTACAAGCAGCTTGTCTTTTCTTTATCTTTCCTGCTTGGTTTCTACACTGTGTCTGCCACTTTGCCTCCTAGTTTAAATGGTAGTCATAAATACCTGCCTAAGGTACAAGGCAGAGAAGAATGAGGTCCCGTAACCCTTGTCTAAATGTATCACTTCAAGGCCAGATCGCTGGCCTTTTCACACTTGTTGAATGAAAACAACCTCCATTGACTTCAGTGGACTTTAGAGCAGTCCTTGAAGCAGCACATTAGCTTAATAATTAACTTATTTCCCTGAGTTTGGAGACTATTTGTCGTTTTTGTTTGTTCATGAATATTTGGTCAAGATACCAAATCTCAACAAATTGGATTGGTTTTTTGGCTAGTCTTTTTAATAGGCATGGGTTGTATTTATATCAGGTCTAGATATGATACAGAGGAGCTGCACATGTTATATCAGCTCTGGGTGTACAACATGGTGTCTGGTTTTGGTTTTTGAAATCTTATGCACTAGCCCTTTGGGATTTATTTTGATACCCCAGCTCCAGCTTTTACTCTTACCTTTCAGGGCCACCCCATGATGTCACATGCACAGAAGTTAGGAAGGACTCTTTGGTTTTACTGTGGAAAGAACCAGTTTATACTGGTCGTAGTCCCATAGCTGGTTATTATGTTGATATGAAGGAAACTGAAGCAAAGGAGGAACATTGGAGAAGTGTCAATGAGAAGCCACTTCAAAAGAAATTCTTGAAGGTAACTAGCTTAAGATTCAAATACTGGTATAACAGTATAATCTTGAGGAAGTTAGCCTTCGATAGCATGATCCTGTGCTGATCATGGTTCCATTTAATGAAATACATAGTAGTTTATGTTGTGCTGAGGATACACACGTGTAATGCCTGTATAGTCAGCCAAGACAGTAACTCAGAAGACAAGCTGGTACAACAAGCCTATAAATAAAAGAATGCACTGCTGAAACCAAATACCATTCTTATAACGCAGTAGGCAACCCTAGCATTTTCTGGCTCAAAGGGCAAGGTAGACTACACAAAAACAGATGGCACAAAAATAGATGTTGTGATAATGTGGCTGGTGATTCTTTCTAATATAAAGTACCCTCTCCTCACATTTCACAGCAAGTTAAACCCAAGCTTTTTTCACTATTATCCTACAGCATTTTGTGGAATAACTTCTAAATAAGGGATCAGCTGTATCTCCATTCTAGAGATATATCTTACGTAGGTTTTCTATTTGTATGCTTTTCAGAATATTTGAAAGACAACTCACTTTTAAGTGTGATCCTTTCATACATATTTTAAAGGAGTATTTGCAGGTGTTATCATGTCAGTATGATTCCTCAAGTGACTACAATTAAATCTGTACAATTAAATGCCCTCCTGTTTTTAAATAGGTGTGGCTGGCACTTATTACCCTGATGATTTCATTTTTAAAAGCCAGAATTTACCTGCAATAAAAAGACTATGCTGTTTCAGAGGTCAATGTACATGAGTTAAAAACATGCTGTTCCAATAACAATGCTCCTTTTGCAAAGAAATCAATGACAGTAATGACGCTGTCTAAATGTTAGCTATGCATACAAGGAAGGAGCAAGCCAAATAGATCAGTCATGTCACTCTGAAATCGAAAAAAAAAAAACCACGAGGAAGAAATATTTGTCAACTGGAAAAGGAGAAAAACAAAAAGAAAGGAAATACAATTGTCAAGCATCCATACTGGAATTGTAAGAAGTGTGAAATAAAAATCAGTGTTTTGTAACACGTCATGCATGTATGTATATTTGCTTCCTCCAGATAGGTGGCCTAAAAGAAGGTGTGAGCTATGTGTTTCGTGTGCGGGCAACAAACCAGGCTGGTGTTGGGAAACCGTCACATGTCACGGATCCTGTTGTAGCTGAAACACGACCAGGTTTGTTAGAAATACTTCCTCTTTTTTGTCATATTTAAACAGGTCCTGTTTGTGTGATATGTTTACATACAGGCTGCGTGCGAACAGTCTGACCCCTCTCAAGTCAAACTTTTTTACTAAGCAGGAACTGAGTTGAGGGTCATATCTTTTACTTTCTTGTCTGGTATATTTCAAGGTCAGAACAGATTTTCTTACCATAACTACAGGTTCAGAAATATAAAAATACAATAAAGTTGTAAGATTTGCATATATCTATAGAAAAATGCATAAGCAGAGGACCCACTCAGATCAGCTCAACCAAAACACGATGTAAGAAGGTAGAGGGGTACAACCCAGCCTGGATCCACCATACACCCTCTTTTCCTCTGACAAGTTCCCTTCCTCCACCCGCAGACTCTCATATCTGATCCCACTTGAGAAGGTTTCCAAGAGCCCTAAAAGAGCAGGAACGAAGGCAGGCAGTGGGCAGGCAGCGGGCAGGCAGGACACAGGGAGCACGAGTAGCAGTGCAGGGACATAGGCAAAGGAGGTGACTACCTGGGCAAACAGCTGCCTACCTGCCTACACAGTCAGGTTGATAGCTGCTCCTGCCTGGAGAAACAGTCAGGGTTTATTTCGGATGGTATTGACTGTGAGGTGTTGAGCAGACATCGCCGGCAATCATCAGTTCCCATTCCCACCCCGGCTGCCTCAGGAGCGTTTCCCCAGGATCCTTTCCCTGTTTCTGACTCCCAGTTCCATTTTTACGTCTCCTATTCCTGCAGCAGCACTGGCCCAGCTCTCAAAAATGCCTGGTCCTTATGACCGGTAAAAATCCTAAGAAGCCTTGAGCTAGCTCTCAGCAAGGCTGTAAGTCAAGAAGGTCTGAAAAAGGAGGTCTGAAGCTGGGGGTGTAAAAGAACTGGAAAACTTGGAGTGGGGAGACTGGGGCGACTGCTAGTGAGGCTAGGATGGGAAGAAGGGACTGGAAAGAGTAGATGGTAAGTTGAGAGGGTGTAAGATTGGGAGGACAAAAAAAGGATGTGTGTGAGTAAGAAGGGCTTGGGACAGGATCTTTCATAATTTCAGATCTACAAACCGCTGAAGCACTAGGTCTATTTCCATCACCTGCAAGTGGAGTAAGGCAAAACTTAGAAACTTGAAAAAAGCTTATATACAGGAACCCCTTCTAAAAAGATAATCAAACCAGTATTAGTACTAAACTTTTGGCTTTACTAATCCATTTTCTTTGAGGGTTATTATCTATTTGTCAGACTTTTGATAAAAACTTGTTATGATAACAATCTTCAAGTGTACTAAATAAAGGATTGGTCACACCATTACACTTTAAAAAAAATGCAAACGTAAACTCATGTAAAGATGATCATCATGACAAAAAAAAATTTGTACAGCGTTTTCAGTGTTCACTCAAATGAGGCGCGTGCCCACCTGGCAATATGAACTTGAGCAGAACATTTGGTTCTGCTGAGGTACCTGGATGAGGTACCATCTCAGAATCATGGCCTTTTAGCAAGCAAGGCTTGGGTTCATAGGTGCAATGTCTGAGGGATCACAAGAAAGTCAGGGTTTGGCCCAGTGAAATCTCAGGGAAGCTGAAAATTATTTACTTGTTCAGATCTGGTTGACCCATATTTTGAGCTGAGATCTGCAGATACAGCATCCACCAAACTAAGCTTCTTAAAAGTATTAAGAAAGGACAAAAGGCTTATTAAAAAAAATTATTTCAGAAAGCAGTCTCTTGGGCAGGCTTCTACCTTTCTCACTCAAACCACACAAATCTCAAGAACAATCATACCATTTTTTAAAAATTACCACAAGTGTTTTGGTGTTGCCCAGTGAATGCTGCCTTTATTACCATCTTGGATGGAGACAAAATATTGTCAGGTCTCTCTAGACAATTCTTGCTGGAATGTTGCTTTTGGCAAATGCGTAAAATGGCCAGACGACTGAGCTTTCTAATCAAAGAATGTAAGTAAATAATACTCTGAATGAAAATATTTGCTTTAATACGAATGGTACCAATTGTCTTTATCCAGTGAAATGTGTAAATATAATGATGCGATACTTTGCATCCACCTTCTCTTGTTTGAAAATGACATTTAATTTTTACAGTCATCTTCTAAAATTAAATGAAAAAACCCACCCACGTAAACAAATACCAATCCAGGCCACTTTTGGGCTGCAACTTTGTCTTTAGACAAAAGCACTTCAGTGTGTGGGGATCTGACAGGAAGCAGGGGAAATCCAAGAGCAGACTGCAACTCTTCCCCATTGCTGCCCTTAGTCCTTGTGCATCTTGGTGCAAAGCAAAATTAGATTCTGATTCTGTATCAGTCACTTGGGAAGGGCTTTAACCTCAGAAATTAATGAAACCCTGTCCCACTCAACTTTTCTGACTAGCTGCATTCAAAACGATGCCACTAACTCTAGTACTAGTTTTGAAGGTGTCTGCTTCATGTTACCTTTTTCCTTTCAATGCAATAAAATGCTAAGATAAATGCAGATTTGATATGACATCTAAGTATTTTATTTCTTATGGTGACTTTAAGAGAAGCTCTGGATGATATGTTGAAACCATCAAGCTATCTAGAGGAGGGAAATTAAGACTGCTGCTACTATGGCAGCCTCCTTGGTTCCACTTTGTAGGATAGGTGGAGACATCTGGTCAGTAATTTTAAAAGATTTTTTTTTTTTACTCATATAAATATTAGAGGCAAATGCCATCATCACTTCTGGAAATAAATGCTATGCATTGTTATCATAATGAGAATACTTTAAAACAAATATAAAAGATTCTGTCCTTCAAATGAACCTTCTGGCTGTAATTCTTTGCACATCGCATAAACTGCCATCAAAAGATTCATGTGCTAATGATCTACAGGAAACTAAACACTACTGAAATGTCAAGTGATGAATTTGCACATAATAAATTAAATTATAAAAAATTTGCAAATATGCTGCTGCCTAGTAAAGTATTTGTAGACCTTAGACTTCATTTATCATACATTGGTACTTAACGTGCTTCATTACTGCGAGGGCTGGTATATAACAGTGCCAAAATGGGAATATTAATCTCATCTTTCATTAAATGGTTATGGCAAATTACAAAGACTAAGCAAGCTGCGTGTACACAAATTGTCATTTCAGGAGCTACTCAGAGCACTGGAAAGGACATGTGTAGTGTTAGGATGATGAAACACAGAAATTTCCTTGCATGCTTGAGGCTCATTAAGAATCATGCTGAAAATAAAGCATTTAATCTCAATGTCAGGAAAATGGCTTTTGTCTTTAAGGTAAAATACTTTGTGGAGAAAGTGTGTCATTAGCATTCTGGGCAGCCCAGAATTGTCTTAGGCTAAGTAATATAACATGAGTGCCCTATTCAGATGCGAGATCCAGCTCAGAGCTGTTCGGAAAAGGAGGCTGGATGTTCTCCAGCACCTCTCAGTGCACACGCTCTCCCTGACGTTCCCAGACAAGTTGTTGAAATGAAAGTTAACGCCACAGATGATGAGTTCGCCGAGCTGCCTGAACCCCATACGAAATTCCCTCAGCTTCACCGGGGTGCGAGGGGGCAGGATAGAGGTGCCTTCGGGTTTCTGATCTGGGATTCGCCCCCAGGGCCTTTTAAAGGACAAACTGGGTCACCTTATCCAGCTCAAGGACTGTAGGTACTGGCAAAACAGGGTGGGCGACTTAAGCAGCTAATTGCAAATATTCACTCCCTTTGTGGGCCCGGGATTAATGCCGCAGACAGCGGCAGGGCCGGATGCCAAGCACAGCAATTAAACCAACCTCCCGGAGTGAAGCCAGAGTCACTGAAAATGTGCCTGAGTTGCACAAGTGAGTCCTGATGGGGCAACTCGATTGTTCCTTCTTCTGCCTCCTGCATCTCTTCAAACACCCGCATTTGCACACTGTATTCCCTTTAGAGCTCTTATCTTATTAGGGAATAAGAAATTCATGCTGCATAACGAAAGCTCTGACTACCCCTTACCGTGGAAAATATTGCTACTCAATATTTCAAACATTTAGTGGATTTAGAGACTTGCTTTTTTTTTTTTCCCTTCAGGTTTTTCCAGAGCAAATATTATAAGTCTCATGTGTGCTTAGACTTGCTCAAATAAATCAGTTGATTTATGATGCTCTTTAATCTGTTCCTTATTTTTATGGATTAGAATAAGAAATGTTCTTGTGAACCAAAGGCTGAGGATGCCAATGTTTGCAGCAGTCTATGTGCCAACTGAGAAAATGGCAAGAATCTGCTTAATCTACCCTATGAATGATACCTATATAAATTTGTTTGCTGGCTTCTCTGAGAAAGTAGAATTGCCTTGTTCTGGTCTTTCAGGAACCAAGGAAATGGTGGTTGATGTAGATGACAACGGAGTCATTTCCTTGAACTTTGAATGTGATCAGATGTCTCCAAACTCTATGTTTGTTTGGTCCAAGAATTACGAACCAATTGAGGACGACTCTCGACTGAACATCGATACTAAAGGCGGAAAGTAAGAACCCTCGGGGGTAGCAATACTCTCGTGTTTAGAGATCGAGGCTGGTCGCAGACATCCATCCTTTTTGATGTCTGACCTCAGCAAGAGTTACATCTGCCTCTGTTACTGGAAAGCTACTTTATGAGTATGCTGTTCTCCAGCAAGTCCATACGCAGACCACTTGGAAATTGTAGCTCGCACAGAATGAGTCAGGCCTCCTGTTTAGGCAATTGAGTTATGTTTGGGCATAGGGAGAGAAAATCTGTACTCTGTCACCTTGTAGCCTGTCAATCAAGGCTACAAATAATTATTATTATTTCTATTGTTATTATTTTAAATCTCCAAAGGATAAAATTATCCGGCTGCTTGCAAAATGCTTTTACCACGTAACGCTGTTGCAATCTTCAGAGGTGCTGGAGTAAGCAGGACTTTCTTCTGACAGCGTCACCACGGCCTGATTTGGTAACTTCTGTAGTGCTCTACAAGCCTACTCTGTTTCTTCAGGCTTTTAACAGAAAGGAAGAAATGGCAAATGCACAGGTTCAGCCTATGAAGTACCTATAAGCTCCTCTAGTTACAGAAACCACACAGGAAGAAATGGTGGCTCACCGCACGCTTGGTATTGCGTGTGAAAATTGAATCACCCTGTACTTACTGTATCCTTTCACACTCATCAAAGACTTGACAACGTGTTTTTAAGCATGCTTGAGCTAGGTTAAACTAGCTACCTCCAGTGCTTTAGGCACTACCTGAGAGTTGTGCCATCTCCGTTTGTACCACACATGGTAGGACCTACCCTGGTTTATACTGGCCAGAGCCCTGCATTTGTCTGTTCAGTCAGAGCAAAAGCTACTATAAGACTATTTTTATCTGGTGTTATAGACATAAAGGAGGGGTTTCATTCAGACTGATCTCATCTTTTCATCAAAACACTTTTTGTTTCCTAAAGGTCAAAAGCTACCTTTAAGGATCTTGGAGAAGATGATTTGGGAATTTACTCTTGTGTTGTTACAGACACTGATGGAGTTTCATCAAGCCATACAATTGATGAGGAAGGTAGACACAATGTCTATTAAGCATGCCTGTTTTGCTTTTACATCTGTTTTTCCCTGCTGCTGTGTCTCTCAGATCCATAAGGCAGGCACACCCAGTATTATTTCTTTTACTTCTTTTGCAGAAATGAAACGCCTACTTGCTCTGAGCCACGAACGCAAATTCCCAAGTAAGTGAATCAAACACGTCTGTTTTGCATGCAGTGGGGTATCACAAAGCTCCTGCCATCATCAGCTAGGGAAGTAATTTCAAGTGAAAGTGGTTTTGAATTGAAAATCTAACATTCCTTTTTTTTCCTCTTCCTTTCTTTGGTGCATTTGTGTATTACTGATGTTCTTCCTGATCTGTTGCAGGGTACTGGTTTAGGCATATAATAAGTCTATATAACAGTTGGAAAATAAATATCCCATTGGCTTTGTTTCTTCTGCAGAACAGCCTTTTATACTTACTCAGCATACCTAACCTCAAGTTGAAAAATTTTCTAATTTTACTCCAACTGAATTTAGCATAAGTTAAATTTAAGGTTAACAAAGCAGGCAACTGTAGTAAATTCAGTAATGATCTGTGTATTTGAAATTCATCCCCTCCCTCTTTCCTTTAACACTTGACAATGTGAACATCCTTCTGCTTGGGATGGTATTTTTGTCAACTCCACAGACCTCCCATACCTTTGTGATATCTGGTAGTAGCACGGCTTGGTTATTTTCATTGGAATGTAACTCAATATTGAAAAAAATAATAAATTGGATTGTATAATGAATCGTATTATACACAACAAGATGAGACCTAAACCTTGTCTCATCTTCTCCCACTACATTCTCTTCTTCTTCGTTCCAGGCACTAAAACCCTTGCCTATGGTTTAACATCTTCAGCTTTGTGCATGCACTGCTGGCCCCTCTGCCAACTCAGCCCACATCGCGCCTCTCAGCCCAGTCAAAGCTTGGCCGCAGAAATGGCCTGTCTTGTTGCCCACATCATCTCTCTCTCTCATTTCCTTCTGTGTTTTTCCATATCAGCTCTACTCTTCTCAACATACTGTATCAACTTTTGACAGCTTAATGACAGCACAAGAATCCCCTTGTTTACTCCTGCTCCTCCCAGTTTTTTGCTCCTAATTGTATCGTCACGCTGAAAGTTAGTCATCACAAAACTTTACTGTTGTCGCACGTCCTTACTTGCCCCAGCCCTTTTCTTCTGAGTGCTCGTCCACCCTCTGTGTTCATAACTGACGTCACAAAATAAGCTCCTCAGGACACAGACCGTGTCTTCTTTTTTGCATCATGTTAGGTAACTGTACACTTCTAGCTGCGCATGAGCTTCCAGGAGGCACAGGCAAAAAGGGAGATCACTGCAGAACGAATCCTCAAGGAGGAAACTGCCTTACTTGCTTTGGCCACGCTAGGCCCTGTGGACACTACAAAAAACCCATTACAAATAGGGGTTAAGATACATCTGGCTATGGCTATGAGGCTAGAAAAATAATAATGAGCTCCTATGGATCAACACGAAACTTTAGCCATATCTCCTGATAATCTGTTTGAGGATTACTCAAATTCTCTACAAAAAATAATTATTCTGTTCTATTCTAGTTGCTAGGCATTTCTGATTCAAAATAAGCTCCTGCGAGTTGCTTTGTTTGTACTTCTGAACTGCATTTAATTGTAACTTCTGCTTAGAAACATCTGCAGCCAATAACTCCATGGGAAAATGGGTTGCTTGAATAATGCAGCCTTACAGAATGCAACTACGTATGGGCGCGATAGTGTATTGGTGCCTAGTAAAAATAAATCGTTCCAACTCTTCAATTTAGCAGCTGCCCGAGGACTCCCTGTCAAGTGCTCGTGGTAATTTGTGATGCTATACAAATAGGATGTAAAACCTTGTAAGCACGATGGCTGGAAAATGCCTAAAGTAGCTGTCAGTTGGTGCTTATGGAAATATTTTAAAATAAGACTTTTGCTCGTGGAGGACTGTAATGCAGATTTGTCCAGTTCCTTTGGGCTGGGGAGTGAACGGCTTTTTCCCAAAAAAGAATCCTTCTGCATCTTTTCAGTCCTTTATTTAACAGCTTCTGAGATACTTTCCTCTCTTCCATGTTAGACTAAGATATTCATAGTTAATTGCATGCAAATCAAGTGGGGGTTTAAAATTGCCATAGAGCTGACAGCGAGACAAAGGCAGTGCAGCCTGATGTCTATTCACACCCTCTCCCTCTTGCTTCTGCTGGCTCCTCTGTAGCATTTCAGTCGCCTTGTTTTGAGAAATTATGCAAGACGTGAGATTCCTTTTGTTTCTTACAAGCAAAGTGATGCACTGGGTGAGGAAGCTTCACACACATTTGGACTGCTGGGGCATGCTCCTGTGGGGTTGTTCTTTGCCCTGCTCCCTCCTGGTAACGCTGTCCATCCAGGCTCCTTTTTAACTATCTTCCTCTCTCTGATTAAGCCTGTGCCTTTTTCATAATTCTCTTTTTTTTGTGTGATTATTGCCTCACCTCCCAGAAGCCTTATTTTCACCAGAGACAGGTCCTGTGCCACTCAGGCGCCAAAAGCATACATGCGGGTGTGGGAGGGTGTAGATGCGCGGAAGAGGTGAGCATGGGAAAGGAAGATGTGGGGGGTCCTCACCCCCCTAACTTTGTTTGGCAGTGGGGTGGGATGGCAGCTCTGCTCCAGAGGGCACCCCAGTCATTTAGGACGGTGCAAATAGAAAGATGAGAGAAATTAGACGCTACCGCAGTCCCAGTCCTCTCCTGCTGTAGCTGGGCCTTTGCATACATGAAGTTGAATAGAATAGGATAAAATAGGATAGGATAGGATAAGATAGGATAGGATAGAAAATTTTCAGCTGGAAGGGAAAAACAACCCTGTCGTGTGATTTGTCTGGGAGGAGGTGTATCTTTACACTATCACCAAACTACATCATCAAGCATTTTGCAATGTGTTTGTACACTGTTCTCAGCTGTTCCATGTTACAGTCTTGCAATGCAGACTTTACACTGCTGTGAAACTGGGGATTGGGGTAGAGTTCATGTACAGCATACGTACTCCCTAGAGTATGATTTTGTTGAAAATCTGAGCATCCACTAAGACAGCTAAAAATGATGGAAACCAATAAAATGAATAATATGCCCCAATATCAGAGTCTAAATGCTCATGTTTAATGTTGCTGATTAAGATATCTTAACAAAAAGTTAAAGTGAAATCAAGCTGAGGACTTTTAAAATGAACTTAAAAAGAACAAGGAAAAATAATAAAAAAAAAGACTAAAATTACCTGCGGTACTCTTTACATTATTTTTTTCCTGCTAACACAAGGAATTGGTCTATATGCGGGGGATTTCCATTATTCATATGTAAACAAAATGTACTGGAGAGATTGAGGGTGTGTTGTATTTAGTGAATTCTGAGAGATGGAGGTTCCACCCAGCAAAGGATCAGAGTGCTTACAAAAATCTCCCAACCTGCAGCTCAGCAGTTGTCTTTCTGATCTGGCTTCGTGCTTGGGGTTTTTGGTGGTTTTTTTCCGCTGAGTCAATTCACTGTCTTACAGTAACATTGTTAAGCGATTCATTAAACATGGGTCTGTGCCATGCAGGCTTGCATCATGCTGCAGAGATGATACTTGCAGTTTACCTTTGAAATAGATTTAGCCTTGTGTTAGAATGGAAGGGCATCGGCATAACTCAAATCCTGAACACTTCCAGTCTGTACAAACCTAGAGATTGAAGGAGCAAAATATTAAATCTTGTCTGTCATCCTATGTATATGTGGGTGGAGAGGCATTCTGTCTATATGAAGAGCTATCATAAGCTAGTTACCTTGCAAACAGTATCTGAGTATGAAAGGAAGAAGTGGCTTTCTGATTACAGAAGAAAACAGTTGTTGGGGCACAGGCAAAGTACATGCTTCATACTTTTCTTTCTTCTTTGTAGCTGTCCCACTTGCCTCTGAGTTGGCAGTGGAAATTTTGGAAAAAGGAGAAGTGAGATTCTGGTTGCAAGCTGAAAAACTGTCTGGCAATGCAAAGGCCAACTTTGTATTTAATGATAAAGAGATTTTCAATGGAGAGGTAAGCCTTTTTATTGCTTACGTATGCTTGCATTTTTATGAGTATCAGTGAGTATTAACATCTCTGTCTCCAATATACTTCCAACCAGTGTTCCACACTAATGCATTTTCATGAGAAATAACACGTCATTGAAAGCATCATTAGAAAGATTTTGTCTGTAGTTCTGAGCTGCAGCTGAATTTTACTGGATGCAGTTTATAAAGTGGAGTTAAATGACTTCCTGCCACCTTTGTGAGTACCATGTCTTCTGTTAACTGGTGAGAACCACAGGAGTTCCAGAAATAAGTTAGTCCCAGGTAAGCAACTACTGTGGTCTTCAACGAGTCACTGCAGTAGCCCAGACTCATCCTATCTATCTATGTCCTTCATCTATGGCCCCAGCATACCCTCGTGCTCGGTTCTCACCCCCCTCGGCTGTTTGGAGGAATTTATTACACCAAGGAAAAATTCCCAAGTGGTTGTTTCCAGCAGCAGAACTTTTACTCACAAAGACATGACATGGCATGCTTTTGTTGCAACACTGATATCAGGTAGAAGGCAGAGATGGAGCATTCTACACAAAACCTTATAAAAATATAATCATCCTCAAATAAAGTGTTATTCTGAAGAGATGCAAATCTAAACCTTTCTAATTGAAAAGAACACAGCAGTCACCATACAACAGGAATGTCACATGTTTGTGTAGCATCAGTAGATAGGCTTCACCTTCAACAGATTTCTTATTTATTCAATGTTATGTTTAGAGCTGGAGCTAGAGATAGTGCGAATCTGAATAAAGAAAACAAAATTTCACCTAAAGATACCATATAATGTTTGACAAATATTTTCTGACTCTGACATCCATTAATTGTTGCTTTACTTTCCATTCCTGAAGAAATATAAAATGAAGGTGGACCAGAAGACCGGCCTTGTTGAAATGATTATGGATAAACTTGAGGACAAGGATGAAGGGACTTACACTTTCCAGCTGCAGGATGGAAAAGCAACCAACCAATCCAGCCTTGTCCTCATTGGCGATGGTAAGCTAATCTATATGACACAGCAGGCAGGAAAAATTATACCGAGGCTACCTCAGTTGTCATCTTCACTTTCCACTGTTCTCAGTACTAATTCCAGTGGTTTTTCATGTCACAGTGCTTGCCTGCCTCATATAGGACAGGGCATGTGTGGGAACTGATATTTTTAAAGTGCTGGGAGGAAGGGGAATTGTTATAGAAATGTAAAATATTGCAGCTTGTCATGGTTTACTCTTCTATGGATGGAATAAAAATTTCCCCTGTAAAAAGCCCATTCATCAGGGAACAAGTAGCTGCACCTCTTAGAGCTCAAGTGGCTTGCTGACTCTGCTGCCGCTCCTTTGCCTTCCTACCGAGAGCGGAAAGTAGCTGTATGATTGGGGATTACGCTTCATCAGACACGACACATTAAAATCCTGATGACTGCAAGCAGCTAGGAAAGTTGGGTTAGCCGTAATCAGCTTCTGACACTTTGAAATGTCCAGTGAAAACCTGACCCTATGGCAGGATTCTCATTGACCTCCAAGGGACAGAGTTGCACCTAACTGTTAGAGCGACATTCAGTATCGTACAAATGGCACATGATGTTTAACCTTCATATTTCTTGCTGTTTTTAATTCCTAGTATTCAAGAAGCTGCAGGATGAAGCAGATTTCCAGAGAAAAGAGTGGCACAGGAAACAAGGTGATAATATGGATACTTATAAGAATCACATATGTGTTAATTTGTTAAGTATAAGAGTTTGTTTATATTTATATATGTTAATTTGAAATAGATGTTTTTGTTCTGTTATATGATTGCTTACCTTTTGAAGGAGAAAACAGAAAAATCAAACAACATTAAAATATTACAGTATTCTTGTCAAGAAAAACATATTTGTCTTTGGTTTTGTATCATGAATACAGTTGATGCGATCCTTAAAAATGCATCTGTAATTTTAAACAGGTCCTCATTTTGTGGATAAACTGGGATGGGAAGTTACCGATGACTGTAACGTGATGTTGAAATGTAAGGTAAGGGGCAAGGAAAACATGGAGTACAATGTTCAAAGCACTTTGACCTACCACTACTTAGACGGTGAGGGTGGGAAGGGACTAAAGACATGCCCTTTGCTGGTGTCCTCCCAACTGCGTATTGGATAGCAACAGAGCCTCTGAAGGCTAATCATGCTGGGCGACTGCTCATTGTGTGTAACAAAATACCTTGGAAAATAGCTTGAACCTTTTCCTTCAGGTCTGTCAGCTGCCCACCCAGGAAAAGGCACCTGAATAGGAATGACAAGTCTTTGTGAATCCTGGGACTTTCTCATTTTTGGCCAGTTTATGTATGTAGAAATCCCCTGGACAGGACCCACTGGTGTCCTGGGCTCCTTGAAGCTGTTGGCAGTTGTTTTCTCTCTCTTTTCATCCCTGCTGTTTTCCCTCTTGCATCCCTCATTTTAAAATGGAGGCCTGCAACAACTCACTGCGATCACTGTAAAGCTTGCTGTTCCATGAGAGACTTGAACAGGCAAACCATGCGACACTAAGTTCACCTGCTCAAATGAACAGAATAATTACAACGTGGTTTTCACCCATCTTAGGTGGCTAATATTAAGAAGGAAACACACATTGTATGGTACAAAGATGACAGGGAGATAATGGTAGATGAAGAACATGACTTTAAAGACGGCGTGTGTACTCTGCTGATATCAGAGGTGAGTGACTGTCCTTGTTAGTCCTCAGCTGAAGTTAGTGTTACAAATTCAGTGAAAGATACGATCTAATCTGGTATTTCAAAAGAACAATCAAAAAAGGAAGCGAGTTTTAAAAATGGAAAAACTTGCAAGGCGTCTGTGTTTTAGCTAAAGCAAATGTCTATAACTGCTTGTTCAGATTTTCAGGAAATGATGACAGAAGAGACAATAAGCTTGTCACTTCCTTTGCATGTCAGTTTAACAACAGAATGAGGCCCCATTTACGTTGCGAATGACAAAGCGCTTGCCAGTCAGGCTTTCAGAAGACCATCCTCTGGGAGTCACCAGAGAGGTCTGGTCGGTGCCCAGCCTTGCTGCAGGCTGGGGGTGTGACTTTCGTCCCTTTGCTCTCCGTTCTTTGGCTGAGGAAGGGAAGAAGTATCAGGGCCCCTTGGGGCCGGGGGCTCCCCCACGGCTGCAGGCCAGGACCCCCCAGCCAGGGCCCGTCCCACCGCCCCAGCCAGGAGCAGGGCAGCTGGGGGCACCGGGGCAGCCCCAGCCCCGGGCATCGAGCACCTCCCCGGGGATGGGGCCGGGATGTCAGCTGGGTTCAGGAGTAAAATCTAAATTTTTCTATAGTAACTATTCTGAACAGTTTTACTGTTACAATATTGCAGTTTTCTAAGAAAGATGCTGGCACTTACGAAGTCATACTGAAGGACGACAGAGGAAAGGACTCCAGTGAGCTAAAGCTTAAGGACACAGGTCAGAGCCACTTTCTGCGAGCTGTCAGCCACCCCAGCTACAGCCTGACTGCTCGCCTGCAAGCGGGTTCGGGGTAATACAGGCAACTGCGTGTGTCACCTTCCTGTGGCTTTGTTCCTCCTGCGTATAAGATCATCTCACCAGAAAAACTGAGATTTTTCAGTTCAAATAATATTTGAATACAGCTTTTGAATCTGGATTCTGTATAATTTTGGGAGAATACGATGACTAACGCTAAGCAAAATGATAACAGGTTTCCTCAGGGGGCGATCAGCAGTGTAAGTCTACAAGTATAGAAAGAAATTATGGAACTAGATAATTTTAAAAGATTTCACATTTTTATTATATTTTGCCATTCATTTCTTTAGGGGCCTTTTCACTCATTGTGATTACTGTATTTTTAAAATTCCACTTACGTTTCCAAGCAAGTGGAGAAAAACCTATCCATTAGTATGTATATAGATGGGTTAGCATTCCAACTGAATAGTGTCATTTATGAAAAAAAAAAAAGATAATATAGTTTTGTTCAGCTGGAGCAGTATTCATCAGGGCTGCTGTTAAATAATGTCTGGAAAACGTGGAATAACAGGCTATATTTCTGCATTACTTAGATTTCTAATATGCTTTATAAGATAAGATAGGTCTGATTTCTTTTTCAAACCTACTGGGGAGAATATTTCAGAGCCAGTACTTGTCCTATTATTGACTGTGCCTGAGCTGCAGACACAGAGCCTTAGTCTCTGGATTTTATTTCCACAGCTTTTGCAGATCTGATGAATGAAGTATGCAGAAGGATTGGTAAGCACTTAATTCTCTTCTCGAATGAATGACTCATTGTGACACTCAATGAATGGCTGCATGGCTGCATAAAACCATGTGCTCTTCTTTCAGCTTTATCTGCGACAGACCTGAAAATCCAGAGCACAGCTGAGGGTATCAGACTGTACTCCTATGTTAGTTATTATGTGGAAGATCTGAGAGTAGGCTGGGTGCACAAGTAAGTATGCAAAAGCTTTGCAAAAATCAGTGCGATTTTGTTTTCATAGACTCAGAAAGAACCTGGATGTATGAGAGAGACAAAGCCCAGGTTTATTCTCATCTCTCCTGAGTCCTTCCCTCATATGAGTTAGTTTCAGTGAATTACACCCATGTGAAACCAGTACAAGAGTCAGGTGTTGGTGGTGCAGGGCCCTCCTGTCGTTTCCCTCATGAGACAGATAGTCCCATGCCATGGGATGCTGTCAGGGCCGTGCTGCTTCAGAGTGCTTCCCACCTCCTGGATGGGAGCTGCATCTTTCCCTGAATCAGTTTTAAGGAGTGATGCAAATATAAGCTGAGAGACTGACAAGCTTTAAAAGAGGCCAGCACCACGGGTTCTGAGATACCTAGCCTGGAGGTCTGCTTGTCTAGAAGCCGCCATTCACAGGAACTGGGACAAGCGGGCACGTCCTCTTAACACATGGGTTCATATTTAGGAGGCAAAGCAAGTTTCAGCATGTGCCCGGGCAGTAAAATCCAGATAGCCCCTCCTGTGAGAGCTACGAACCTAACCAAGCCAAATCTCCAGCATAACTGAGAATTTTTAAAAGAATTTGAATGCCCAACTCCCCATAAAACTAATGGGAGTTGCATATCCAAATCCATGAGCAAACAGCATGCACTGGAAAACCCAGAGAAGTAAACAACTCAGATTTGATTTAATAGTAATAACGTATTTGAATCGCTTCAAATCTATTATTACTGTTCTTGCTGCTTCACTTCCTGTGGACGTGGTAGTAGTTAGTCTTTAGGATGGAATCTGAATTACTGATCTCTCAATAAAACTCATGTAAATGAGGCACAGTATACGCAGGATGTGCTGCAGCAGTCTGGCTGTAATTATTGACACTGATGCTAACCACCAACGCTGCCAGAGAAATGAAAGCAGTTTGAGGTTTTCCTGCTTCTTGGCACACTTTTTGACCTGGTATCACCAGGAATCCCAAGCATTTCAAAACTGGAAGTGAATATGAAGTACTCTGCATTTCTCTCTCTCTCTTAATACTCTCCCTCTCTCTCTCGTCTCTATTTAATTTTTAGAAACTAATTTAATCTTGAAGCACATCAAATTAATCTAGTAAAAATGTTCTTTGACCCTCTAGTGTATTCGAAGTTATCAGTTTAAAGATAAAAAGAAAATGAGTACCTTATTTGACTAGTATCTTTCGCCTCATCCAGGGCAATTAACTGCTTAGCTAGGAAGCTGAGAAATTGATATTTTTTGTGGAAGAAGATATATTTATGTCAAAGTATGTTTAATTGTAAACGCCGAAGCATAGCAGAGCATCAGAAAACACTCCAACTAGGCAAACACCATTTGTGACAAAAGTGGGGGGTTTTGTAGGTACAGCCCTATATAGTTTTGTTTTGCACAGGCAGAAGTAAACCGATGCTAAGAAGACAACATGAACATTTGAGGATGCATGGATTACTCTTCAGAGATTTGGGTTTTAAATTTGTGTAACTTTCCGTGGCTCAGGTCATAGACTAAGATGCATAACCTTGCTGCAGGCTTTGAGGAGAGCTACACCTTGAACAGGGAAAGACTGTCATGTCAATTCTGCCCCGTTGGCCCACAGCTTTAATAAGAATTTGACTTCAAAAGTTTCAAAATATGGTGGCATAGCACCATAGCACCTTGGAAATCATTCAGTAACTGCAGATGTACTCAGTGACTCATCATGAGCAAATCCCATTTATACTCCAGCATAACGGAAGGGTAACGTTGTTGTGTATTTTTCAGCGATACCCAGATTAGGTTTACAGACCGAGTGAAGACTGGTGTCACCGGGGAGCAGATCTGGTTGCAGATCAATGAGCCAACTCCACAGGACAAAGGCAAATACACCATGGAACTCTTTGATGGGAAAACAGGACACAAAAAGACAGTGGATCTTTCTGGACAAGGTAGGCCATTCCCTCTGCTAGCATCATCTGTACGCGGGCATTACGCTGTGGTAGGGTAGGAGCATCTGCAGCAGGACCTTGCTACAGACCTGTTACCCTTTGGGCTATTGGGTCTGTGTGTGTACCCAGCAGCCTGGCAGCGTTTGTGGGGACAGCGCAATTTGTTTTCCCCAACCTGTGCTCTCGGGTCATAAATTATGAAAGGCTTTTTCTGATTCCAAATACCCGCTTACAGTTTGCCTACTGAGATGTCAGCCCAGTTTCTGAGCTATCTTACAAAACCCCTTGTGTTGCTGGCATTGATTGGCAGTTTTAAATACAAGTTGGAGCACTGAATGCCTTCTGTATCTCTCCCTTCCAAGTAATATTTGGAGGAGGAAGTGAGGGATAAGTTCTTTCTGTTACTTTCTTACTGCATTTCTTTGATGGATATAATAGGGCTCCTTATTCTTCAGAGATGTCAAGACTGGTCCCTTTCATCACCATGATAAAGGAATGTTAGAGGAACAGCTAAAATTATTTGGATTGATTGTTGGAAGCTTTTACTCTGAGAGACCTCTCAGATCCTAGGGAAGAGATTATCTCCTTCCGAATTGCCGAGTTTCCATCCCCCGCCGTTCCCATCCCTAAAGCTTCACTTTGGGCCTGCAAGCTCTGTGTAAGGGCAATAACCTTACAATCATCTCCATGTTGCTCCTTCTGTACTCTATTCCCACTTTCTGAGAAAAGAGATTTCTTCTTCCCTTTCAAAGCAGAGAGGTTGACCTCCCACATGATGGTAGCTTAGCCTGAATTTACAGAGGAGACAGCAGTTTGCTGTCAGGGCCATCAGTGTGATGCTTCAGAGCAGATGTGAAAAGCACTTGGAAAAAACAGATCTCTTGTATTCCATAAGCCAGTGGCCTCCGAAGTGGGGTGTGTGCAAGATGATGTGCTGGGGTGCGGGAAGAAAATATGAGAACTTCAGTAGGACATCTATGTAATTTTTAAATAAATAAATGTACATACATTGCGGGTGCATGCTCAAAAAAATTTTACCTATAGAGGTGCACGATCAAAAAAGTTTGGGAGATCACTGCCATAAGCTATCGTTTAGGTGGTGTATTGTGGGTTTCTTCCTCTGTTTTGTGAGATAATTTCAGCCTATTGCTCTCCTGTTATTTCTTTGTCTTAAAGCCTGACTTTTAAAAGAAAAAACAGTGTGTTTATGCATTCATATGTATATATAACAGCTGCCATATACAAGATGGCCTTTATTAGTTGAACCATTCAGCATTTTAGGGTTTATACAATACGCATGCATCCATACATTAGTATTTCTTTAATGATGTCTATGTTTTTAATTTAATTCTACATTCTAAATGTAAACTTGTGATAATTTATCTCTGAACCTACCTTTAAAATAAACTTTTCTCTTTACAAAGCATTTGATGAAGCCTTTGCTGAGTTCCAGAGATTAAAGTAAGTATTATGCCATCTAAATACAGTAATGGCAGCCATAAAATAATAAGAGTATTTGTTTTGTGCTGGAGCTAAATATATCCCATGAAACGAATCCTAGTCCTACAGAAGTCTGTAGGAGTTTTGCATGTGACTTCTTTGGTGCAATTCTTATATAACAGTTAGGTAACAAAGAATAAGCAGTGTTGCCAAATGATGAGACATTTTCCTTAACATATGAAAGGCAATTAAAAAGATAAGCTATTTTTCAATCATTCTAAGTAAACTTCAACTGAAATTGGACTTTCTTTTTGTTTCTTTCAATTCCAGGCAAGCTGCGATTGCAGAGAAAAGTAAGTGGGCCTTCTTTGACAATAGTTGCAATAAACTGTTTACGAAGGTTTTCTTCCTCTCCAGGAAGGTTGTGTGTTGGGAGAGAGAGGGCATGTATACATGTATATGTGCATGTGCTCACCCTAAAATGAATTTGTCCTTATACCAAGGGGAAGCAAGGAGAGTGACCCTTTAGTGATGTATCATTGGTGCACATTGCAGCTAATACCACTATAGTTATGGGTTATGTTGATTTTTCCAGCCTAAGCTCCTGTTCTTATTACCAGTTAGCCTTCTCTAAAAATTATCTTCATTGCTGAGATCTCTCATGCATGTTCTCTGCACAAAAGTCACTTTGTTTTCAAAAATGGAGGAAATCACTTGGCTAGTTTTGAACTAAAATGTCAAATGGCTCTGCATTGCATACAAAGATGGGTAAGAAAGCAACAGCAGCTTTTGCATTGCTTAAAGACCGATCCCTGAATCTCCTGATACTTTTGCGTGTGTGTCAATTCCAACATAGCAACTAAAACAGAAGTATGTAATAATTACTTAAGGAATAAGTCATTAGAATTCAACTTGAATTATTAAGCTCAATATTCTCCCTATTTACAGAAAAATGCATGGAAAAAATTTAACACATCAAAAAGTTCTCCTGCTGCAGATGACTTTCAGACCTGTGTAAAAACGAGGGCAGAACTGGCATTTGAAAATTTATTGGAGAAAAATGTGTAGAGAGATCTGAGCTAACTCTTCCTGGACATATACTCCAAATAGAGCAGGGTTTGGAAATGTACAGTGATCCCTACGAGTCCCAGCTGAGACAGCACAAAAGGATCAGTAATAGCCCTGCCCTGGGCATTTCTTTTCTAACCCTAGACCATTCATAAGGGGCTGGCATGTTAATTGACATAACACAGTCCCGTTCCCAGTCTCATAAGGTTGTTATCTCCGTGCTCCAGAGCACATCTTTTACAGAATACATTAGAGGGGAACATTCTGTATAGTCATTTCCTTCCTCTGCCAGGCTCCACCAAGACTTATAATGAATTAAATCCATACTCCAGAATAAGTGCACCAAAGCCTGCATGTGATCAGCTTATTTGTATTTAAGAGTCCTATGGGACTTTGAGCTTAAAACTAGACCAAATATTGATCTCATTTACACCCAGATACGTACAAAGCCATGGAATTTCAGTGCCGTCACTGACACTGTCTTTGTATTTAGATCAAAACCTAATCTCTACCACTTTATTAGCTGTCATTCGTTTCCTTTTGGAAACACAACATTTTTAGTTTATGACACTAAAAATTTAGAGTGCCAGATCTCAAAAATTCAGATTTTTTTTGTGCACTCAGAAGTAACACCGAATTGATGGCAAAATCTGCACATGTACTTTAATTCCCCTCTGTAAGTGACTGACACCAGCTATTAACACATCTTTTGCTGTGAGTTCAACATTTTTTAAAGTCCAAATGGTGTGCTAAGAATGCCGAATAGTGCTCTGCTAGTGCAGACATCAGAGACAAGTTGTACATAAATAAGATAATACAATGGAACAAGAGGGAAAACAGAATCTGGGACGCAGTTGATTTTGAGACACTAAAGAAAATTACTCTTATTTATTTCCAGATCGTGCGCGGGTACTTGGAGGTTTGCCCGATGTTGTCACCATCCAGGAGGGCAAGGTACAGTAAATTAACTGAAGCTTTACAAAACAGCCCAACAACCTGAATGCCTTTCAATGATGGGAAAATATTCACCTTTTTTTTAAAGATTCCATCTTTAAAATCTGCTACATTATTTATTCATTGCCTGCCATCTGTACATAATTCAACAGTCTTGCACAGATGGGTTTATGTATTCAGGGCAGTGTCTTTTCTTAAGCATTAGATAAAAGTGAGATGACAAGGTGAGCTGAGACTAAAACTCCTTACACAACCAGCTCTTTAAAAATTCATGCACAGAATTTTTTTTGTAACAGGCTACGAGGGAAGTTTAATTCCTTATTTACAAGATAGCTAGTCATTCTATGTTTTATGCAGTTAACTTCCTTGCAATGTGGCAAGATAGTCACCCCTGTCAAGACTGGCGTTTAAACGGTGTAAAACTAGTAAACCATTCTAACTCAATTCTCTCCCAGACAAAAGGAGATCATTTTCTCTATTTCATCAGGGTAAATGGGAAGGAAGTCAAAAGAAGTCACTGGTGTTACACTGGATTACATTAGCAGAGTTTAGCTGAAAGATTATTGTAAGGCAATCCCGGAGGAACACGGCTACATCGATGCTTGAGCACAGAATAGATGACCCAGAAAGTCAGTTCTCAATCTTGCAACCTTTTCCCAGCACGCTGCTGCTACAAATTGCTGCATAATAGTGCTGAGACCAAGAAGTGCCAGCCCTCCACTTCCCACTGGTCTGCCTCTAGCCGGTTCCTCTTCACAGTGTGGGTGAACATTGAAATAGGGCACGTGAATGTCATTGGAAACCTGTAACATGACAACTTCAGTAAGGCAGCTTCCCGATATTTCTGGCTTTGTCTGGCAGTAGGTCAGCTGGTTAAAAGTATTTGATTATAAGCTGAGCAGAAGTGCTAAGAATCTAAAATCTTGGTCTGAATCGCTTAACAATGTGAGATATAGCATGGCCAGCAGATAGCGGACTGCAGCCCTTCTGGGAAAATTAAGAATGTTGGCATTACAAAATGAGATAACATTTGATTAAACCTTTCATTAAAAGATTTAGCAGTTTGGGAAAGGTAGAAGTGAGAAGCACTCATACGAGCATTGTAACTGTAGGTAGAAGACACAAAGAAACGGAATGAATTTGCAGATTCTCAGCAAATAGTGCTTGTGCTTGGAGATGAGATTCTCATGCTGCTTTGGCAGGGGATAAATCTGGGTGGTTATTATCAGTTTTAAGCTTTCTGCCAAAAGAGAGGTGATACGAAGTTGAGCATGAGCTCACTAAAGCAAAATGTGTAGAGCTTAAAAAAAAGGAGTTTGTAAAAAATGAGTTGCAAAATCTTACCCAGACACACATTGTCCTTGACAGCAAGGACATCTGTAATGTTTGAATAAGTGACTGAAAAACTCCCAGAACTCGAGACAAATATCCTTGACCTTATGTTTCTGGATTCAGTAGATAATTGTTTTGAGAAATGGAGTAGGACAGAGAGTGATTGGGGAAAACGGTGCTTGTTTGGGTGGTGTTGGCTCATCTGTCTGTTGTTTGCATATATGCTGGAGAGAGGGGAATGCAGTTCTCTGTTGTGTAATTCATGCAAATTGCACAATCATCAAGGATTTTGAAAAACAGTAAGTGAGGTAGCAGAGGACTGGCAATTGCAAGCTTTGATTCTGAATACAAGTGCAGCCATAACTAGAGTTATATGAACAGATTGGTATCCCTAGATTGAACTTCCAAGCATATGCATGTCTTAAACTTAACACCATGACTGTGATGCTATTTATTAGCTTTTTACATGTGAGCTGAAGGATATGTGTGAGAACGAATAAACCAGTGTTTACCCAGTGTTAATCAAACAGCGTTCCAGATGGCCTAAGAGGCTTCCACTGATAGACAGAAATGCTCTTCAGCAGTGTGATATAATTGGAAAAGGCTAAGTGTCAGTTCATATTAGGGAGGAATTTGACCCGACAGAGAATACGAGCATAAGTTTTGTGTACAGCCAGCCAAATTAATCTAAGTGGCTGTTTTAATGGCGGCCTGTAAGTGAGTAAGGGGTTTTATTTTTAAAAGGAGAAGTTTAGGATTCTGACAGACAGGCACTTTCAGACCTAGAAGCAACATGTTGCGTCCTTCTGCCAACCAACTCCCCATTCTACCCTTCTGCCAGGGGTAGGTGGAAGAAGGGAGCAGGTTCCCCGGATTGAGTTGCTTCAATTCACTCACTGGCATCTTAGCCCAAACCACCCACGAATGTGAGTTTGTGCTAATATGCAAGAGGAACGGCAATACTTGAAATACAAGGACACATTTCCCTCTGCCACCTGTACTACCCTACTCATGATAATCTCCAGTGAAAGGCACAAAAGGTAGTAGGGGGCACAAAGGGTCTGGACCTGCAGCTGCTGGTTGCTCCAAGTGCACATGCCTTAGTGCCCCAGCTCCAGGCTTGTTATAGGAACTTCTGTGTGGAGTTCTGAAATACTGAGATCCGGCTCAAAGAGATGGGGTTTACTCACCCAGTGTTTTTCAGGTAGATCAGATTTCCTGATAGATTTCATTCACTCACCACAACATCTAGACAGGTTTCCAGTCCTTTTCCCTAGCCCCCTGCCCCAGACAATCATCAGAGCCAGACAACTACTGGAAAAGGGGGATTATCTTGAAGCGGAAAGGTGCCTTTTCCCCCCCAGGAGTACAGAACACACTTTTTTTACCAGGATAAGGATTTCAGGTTGAATACAGCATTATAATCAGGGGTTTCAGTGAGTAATGAAGATATACATGAGCAAAGACAATCTCCTGCCCAAAGAACAGAAAATCTGAAACAGATCAGTGCAGTCACAGTGAGCAATCACTTCTCCTTGGCTAAGGCTCCATAATTACGGAATTAGCTTCCACTATCTGCATAGTGAATCGTAAGATACATCTCTGCATATTAGAAGCTGGAAAATAAATAATAAGAATTGGGAACATCAAGAGGAGCACCGATGTCAAACAGGAGCTAGTGATGCAAGGTTAAGCAAAATGCAGCTATTTTAATGAATGATTTAGAAGAAGAAGAGAGTCATCACTACTGCTTGGATCTCTTTAAATTAAGGAGTACTGACATCACTTCAAACACCCAGGGTTTGAATGATGCCACTAGTAGAGATGTCTGGACATGGACATCAGCTCATTAGCATCTTGGAGTGGCAGCTGGGGCCACTCGATGGTGATCTCTTGCTTGCTAGAGAATCAGAAGACAATAAAGAAATATTGGGCACCGGAAGGGACCCATATATAATGCCTGGCTGAGGCTGAGGCTGAGGGCGTGTTTGAGAGTGATAAGGAGGAGGGGGAAATGTAAAACCTCTTGTTTTCCCCTTGTTTTTCAAAAAGAGGGACTGATATGGCAATCAAAACCACATTCACACCAGTGGGCTATGAGAGAAGGCAGTCAACAGCCCCACGCGGTCACCAGCTGTAGGTGCTGCAGGAAATCAGATAGAGGCCATCTCCACCATGCCGTAACCACTTCTCACTTGGAAACTGCCTTTCCTTTGGTACCAAGAATTATGTTGTTTTGATGGAGGAAAGACTTCCCCCCCCGCCCTTTTGTTCTCATTTCGGTCCTTAGGCGATGTGGGATTTATTTGATTTTTATTTTGTAGTCAGAGGTACAAAAATCTTTCATTTGTATAGAGGTATCCATTTTTTCGATCTGCTCATTTCAACAGCCTTCTGGATGTCTCTCTTCTGTCCCATCTTCCACTATTACACTACCAGACAAGAAGCAGAGAGGTGAAGGGAAGGTAGCCCGTTAAATAGATTTCTCACAGTAGATTTTTATCATGACAGCCTACAGGGCCAACAATGTGAGTGCTCTTCAGTTGTCTCTATTTTTGACGTATTTGTATCAAGAGCCTTTAAAAAAAAGGTAAGAAAAACTTGATTCCAGTGGAATCTTGTCCATTCCTTATGTATCACTTAGTCCATTCCTAAGGAACCACTGAAGACCATTTTCTCTGCAGTAAAAATTCTTCAATTTCCATTAAAAAAAAAAATCTACCTTGAATAACTTTTTAAGTTCGGACCAATGTACTATTTAATACTTAGACATAAATGGATTCCTTCCTAAATAAAGGTTCAGAGAAAGGCCTATGTACCACTGAAGTTTCGTATGAATATTTTCCACATTTGACTCTCTATGTGATATTCATTTTTGCAAATTCTTTTGAGAAGATTCCCATGGCACTGTGACTGGAGGAGGGGACCGTGTATATGTATCAGTATCTCCCAAACATGAATTTCTCAGCTGAAAACCCAAAAAGGGGCCTGGACATTTTGTGCCCAATAGACTCACTGGCCTACAGAAAGTGCCCAACCGCAAGGGATCTCCCCAACAACTGGACTCTCTGACAGTGAAGAGGCTTCCTTCAGTCTGATGGGACTAAATTCAGCCCTTAGGAACATTACTAACATCAAAGGGAAATACTTAGATGAACACCAAAGAAAGGGTAAAGCCTGTACTAATTTCAGTTAAAAATAGTTTTATAGGAGTGCATAAAACAATTCAAGTCTGTTGGAAGAGCTATCAGGGCATAGTTTAAAAAGATCGTAAAATATTCCAGGGACACTTTGTTCTTAGTTACTTAAAAAGGCAGGCACACTTTCTTTACTTCTGTGGTAAATATATGGTGAGCTTAACATGAACAAATCCATCTGACGGTTCCACAAATTCTCATTTCAGATCTAACACACAAATGCAGATAGTATCTAATTTGATATTAAACAATATGCATGGAGAGAGCTCTACTAATGATTATGAGAGCAGAGAAGAAGGTCCATAAAATATTGAAGGTTTTAATGGAGTTTTTGAACTAACTGCGTTCCTTTTTTTCCTTTATGATACAGAAGACTGACAAAAAATATTGATCACTGATGGTGATATGCATCCATTTACTAAAAGCACGAAGCTAAATGGGGAGGGGAACATTTGGAGAGTCAGGCATCAAAAAACAGAGCAAATGTTTACTGACTCTTACTTATAATCCTTTTGTACTTTTTCTATAGGCACTTAATCTTTCTTGCACTGTCTGGGGAGATCCTACCCCAGAGGTCTCATGGCTGAAGAATGAAAAATCATTTGTATCCGATGCTAATTGCATCCTGAAATTTGAATCTGGAAAAAACGTCAGCTTTACCATTTCTAATGTGTCCACATTCGACTCTGGGAAATACAGCATTGTGGTGAAGAACAAGTACGGCACAGAGACCAGCGATGTCACTGTAAGTGTGTTCATACCTGAGGAAGAGAGACAGTCTGAGCAAGAGAAAAAGAAAGAAGATAAGAAAACGAAAGCGTGAATTTAAGACTAGGAAACAGAAGTATGGGGGAGATTTTGGATGATAGGCTGACATAATCTCTGTGTGTAAATGCTTTAGCTGGCAGCCTTGGATTTTTCCATTCACTTCACTTTTGCTTCTAATACACTTAATTGTGCCAGGGAAAACAGGGCCTTTCCTAAATATTTTCTTACTGCTAACTTCACAGAACCTAGTTGTAGCATCTTCAGCCAGGCCAAATGCATGTTGGCTGCAAACACAGGTCCGCCATTTGACCCTCTTCCTGGAGCATTTGACCGTACAACAAAAATGGAAAGGGTGAAGAATCGTTTCAGTGGGGGCAACTGATGAGGTAGATGGAATGATAAAAAATGATCGAGTCATTTTTGAGCAGCAGTTTAGATTTGTTCAAACTTAGGGAACATAGCATAGATGGAATGTGTTAGAGAAATCATGGAGAAATTAGTGCTGGTTTTGTCTACTTTAAGGCCCCTTTGTATTGCTGTGTTAATTTAGAGAGGCCTTAATATGGGTGTCATTTACATCCATAAACATTGTTTAACTTGCCCAATTGGGGTAAAAGTACTGTAACATAAATGAAAATTAGGCTTAGGAGGCCAGAACACTAATGTGTGTGTGTGTGTCTGCAAAAATGTACGAACTCTCCTCTATGTTCACAAATAAACTGAATTCACTTCTTTCCTTCTATCACATGCTTGTTTCACTGTGTCTTGTTTTCTAGTCACGGCTCTGGTACTTGTGCACAGTATCTTAGTGTCTTAATGCTTTCACCACTGTAACTACCTCTAGCTTTCCTTTAGATCTCTGTTAATCTTCACTTTACTGTTCACGACAAAACCCACAATGGCATCTCTTCACACCTTTTGGTCCAGACCATCACTACTTCACATCTCAACTCAACAAGGTGTTATTGCAAATTCACGCACAGGAGTGGTCTCATGTGATTCAATGGACCTGCTCATGAATTTTGATTTAAGGGTGTTAGGTAAGTATTTTGTTAGACTGAGACTTCAATTAATTTCATCCAAACTTAACACTGGAGATTGGAAATAACATATTTCGTCAAGATCTTTTAAAGCTACAAAAAGAATCTTCACTGGAACATAGAAAAAAAAATTTTTTTTCAGATAAAAATGTTTCAGACAAAAAACATTTGTCCAGATCTTTGAACACACTAATATAGATTAAAAACTGCATGTCAGCTATTTTACAGCAATGCCACTGATTATTATTAGCTGAGGAAGAGCAACAGAATGCACATATATGTCCATCCTGCTGGATATATATATGATATATACATGTGATACAATATATATCTCATATATATATGTATGATCAGAAGCAGTTATCAGCCCAATTGCTAATTAGGAGAGCAACGTGCCATATTAATAACTCTTTTCATTACTAGTCTCACAACAGCACAATTCTTCACATCAAAATCTAAAGAACTAACGTATACATTTTCACTATAAGCACGATCTGTGTGCACCTTCCACATACTTTCTCGTGTCATTTTTAGCTACTGTGACTGCAGAAATAGTGCTGTTGCCCAGGCACTCATTTTGCTGCAGTATTGGCATTTCTGTGAGGACGCTATTAGCAAGTGCTGTACAGTTAATGCTCACTTAAACCCTTGCCATCTGAGGTTCACTGGCAGCTAACGTTAAAGGCGAAGTGGAAGCATGAGGGAGTTCTTAATGGCTCAGGTAACAATAGATTCAACACAGTTATCAATGGTGAAAGTGGTGATTTTTGCAATTTTTTAATAGTTTCTTTTTCATCAGTTTCTATAAAGGGCTAATGATTATGATCTTAATATCCAGATTTAGATCAGATTTATGACCTACCAAAACATGTAAGCATGTGCTTAACTTTATGCATGAATAGTACCACCAGTTTCAAGGAACATGTTAACTTTATCTGGTATAAATCTTTTTTCTTCCAGAATAGATTTCACATCACAGGGGTTTTTAACATGAAATTATGTAAAACTAATGTGTTTTCAGCATTTCACATAAACAGTGTATGTGTTCACAAAGCCTTATCTCCTAAAATAGTTAAAACTCCAGTATCAAACTTGATGACATTATTGCAATTTTAAGGTTTAAGTGTGTAATTGTGTACATTAATGAGTCAATATGTTACAAAAAAAGTTCAGACTATTTAGTCACAACAGCTGTGTATCAGACAAAGTAAAACAGCTTAATTTTTAAATTTGAGATACAGCAAGCTTTCTGAGTTTAAAGAACCAATGTCAAATTATTTGATAATTTTGCTTAGTATAACATGAAGCCAATTCAAGGATGATAAGCAGGTCACTCCATCTTGGTCCCAGGACATACAGCTTAAAAGCAACAGTGTCACGTCTCTCTTCCATCCTCCAGAATGCAAACAAGAATATGACTTGCTCTTCGCAATACCTGATAACTGATGTTTATAACTTGGCATTAGCATATTTTTAATAATGATTGCATTTTGGCAGCAGTTTATTTCTACTACTTTATCTTCAAAAATCTGTCCTCCTGCCTCCCTCCTTTTGGCAGAACTGAGAGGGAATACAAGTGGGCCACCTCACAGATAACAGTCTGGATTCCACTTCTGTTTGCTTCAGAAGATGTACGTGTCCCTGAAACAGTAATAGCTGCTTCTAAACGTACTGCTGCCAGGGACTGGGTTATGGTGGTTTCAAATAGAACTTGTGATGCATCTACATTTCTTGCTTGTGCACTTTTTGTTCTTGCTTTGCTTCAGGTGATTGTGATTTCTGTGTCAGGACAGACTGGCACAGTCCAAGGACATGATCAAAATAATATAAAGGTATCTAAAAAGAAAAAAATGACAGTAAGCAAACAGAAGGAAGGGGAAAAGAAAGGTAAGAGCACTTTCACCTTTATAGTCTTCTACTCCAATGAAAAAATTGTTACACATTATGCAGTTAATAGTCTGTGCCAATCAGTATTTCTCAGGTCCCAAACAATCAAGTTTACAGTATGTTTTACAGTATGTATGCTCTTAATCAACAACAAATGCAAAGTATGAATTGCCAGGTTAAACCTCAGTGAAAGAGATTTAAAACAACACTTTCAAATCACCTTTCCACTGGGCTGTGAGTTCTCACCTTGGCTCACCTGGCTGATGAAAGTTTTTTAAGCCATAATAAATACTTTCAAATTTCTGAATGCAGAGGAAAGACCTGCTAAGCATGTATATATACACAGATGGTGTTATTTTCCAAAGTAAGACTCATTTCAGCAGCAAGACGTTTGACACTTAACAAAAAAAAAAAAGCCTTGCTAATTAAGGGACCCTAAATGCCAAACTGTTTTAGAAAACCCTGATTGTATATATAGCCACTATTTGAGATAAATCAATTATTCTCTCTTGGCTTTATGTCCATATTGAATGGTAAAGTTGGAATTATAAGTGAGCATTTTTTTGTCCAATTTAGAGAAAGGGTGGAAAATGAAAAGCGCTCTGGTGATTCAGCACTCTTGCATATTACAGATTTTTACTGTTCTTTTAGACTCATTATATAACTGCTACTTGGACATTGATTTATTCTTCACAATTACAACTCCCTCATGTAAAGCATTTTAGCTCCAAATAAGGCTTAAATTCCAACATTATCAGAACATCTGTTTTACATATTTTTGCCTAAGTATTTTTTCTTTGTATACAGGGTGTATACATGTTATATCATTGCTGACAGAACATTTTACACTCTTATTCCTCTTCCCTTTTCTGCTCCTAAGGCAAGAACAAATATTTAACTGCATTTCTTTCCTCTCTTGCCTTACTGGTATGAGTAACCTAGACATTTCTGAGCAGTCCTGTAAATGAGATAACTTACATGAGAAACCATTATTTACATCTGTAAATGTTTTGCAGGTTCTACCCCTTAATCTTTTTAATTAGAGACCATAAAGACTCGGGCTTGCTTTTGGCTCTGTAAAAAGTAGTAACATTATTTGTGATACTGAATCTCTTTATATGGGTATGGGAAGAGGAAAAGAACATGATAAGGTCATAACCAATGTGAAAGCAAAATCTATATACCTCTGTGTTGCTGAGCATAATAAATGTAAGGGAAATTTTATTACTTCTCCTAAATCAGATTTTATTAAGCCACATGCAGAAGAAATTATTGCTACAGAACAGACACCTGATCCAAATGAAATCCCCCCTGTGGAAACAGAAAAGGATAAAAAAAGCCAACAGCGAGCAGCAAAGACGACTGATGGAAAGGCAGCAGTGGCAGAAATGGTTCCTCAGCCCACAGAAAGCTTGGATAGGCAGGAAAAGAAATCACTGGAAAAAAAGCCTTGAGTAAACTCTGCTGTTCTTGAATGAAGAATGTGATCTTGTTATGATCTGGATAATAAGTTCAAGCTAAGATTTCATGGGTGGTAGACTAGCCATGATATTTTAACACAAAAGTTTATTAGTGTTTTTTAATAACATTTGTAATACTTCATAACTTGAAATGCATAGTAGATGGGCACTTATGTCTCTGTTCCAGATTAGTTGCACTGTAGTAATTTCTAAGTATCTTAATAATGATCCATGTACTGACAAGGTGATTTTAACTACTAAAAAATGTCCATGATAAGCAGAGGTTATTAGAGCAAATCCTGTCCAGAACTTACATATTTACTACTCTGTAAAAGAATGTTGGTAACAGTTATGTGGCTCTGTTAATTGATATTTGTAGGCCATCACAGCTTGAGGCAGAACCCGCTTACTTTCTCAAGGAAACCATACATACAGTCCTCTTAATGCCATGTGGGCTGTACTTTTCACCATGACCAATTTGGCCTTTCTCAAGGAAACCATACATACAGTCCTCAATGCCATGTGGGCTGTACTTTTAACCATGACCAATTTGGCTACAGGGGAAGATCTCCAGAAACCCAACCATCTCCTATGGATGCAGGGGGGCCATAAGCAGGTTTTCTTTTGATCCAGGTTTCTTTCATGCATACTTGTTTCATCAGGTGGATCAGGATGACATCTGGACATTTCTTATCACCGAGACTCACATGACTGCTTTTCAGTCCTCTCCACTTCATTAATTCCCTCCTGGCCTTGGTGAGGTACTATGTATATAGCATTAACCCGTAAAGTATCAACTGCCCCACATGCTCATTTGTCTCCACCCTTTTTGCTACAGCAATCATATCGCTGTTTCCAAGACCTGCTAAACCCACTGTCCTCCTTCCCCTCAGTGACTCAGCCCAACACCTTCCCTTCTTCCCCTCACTAGGATCAGACCCACTGGTTTCTTATAAGAGAGTGTAGCTTCATGGTCCATGTAAGTCAGGAATAAACATAAGCCAAGAATCTCTGCTTTAAATCACTACTGTGCTCATTCACATTCATTACTGTGTTCTTTCACATATTTATGTACTGAGGATATAAGAAAATATGACTCATTTGTAAATGCTTAGATACCTTGGAAGAAGTAGAGTTCAAGCTGAAAAACAAACCAATAAAAACAAAGGTCAGAATTTATTTTGTAAATATGCAAGCTAAGTCAACTTTTAAGTGACCAGAAATTATTAAATACAAGAAATAAAAATAAGATATTTTAATTACTAGGAAAATATTTTTATTGATTTCAACACTTAGAAGGCTCAATCATATTATATTGGCTTTTTCCAGATGGATTATTGATGAAAGATTACTGAACTCCTCTGATATTTCTAGAGTGTTAGATCTATAACAAATGCGGAAATACTGAAAACACAAGAAATACCAGTTTCTGATTAGAAACTGATCCTTATAGAATCGTTAGCATGAGAAAACAGAGACTCTTAATAGCATGTGAATGTGTAACACCTGAGACACTGATACTTCTGATGGAAAGAAATCCATTTCCTTCCAGCAGAATTCCAACAAGGTTCTATTCAACTCTTTTTAAAAACAACAGAAAGATTCCTGCCGGATGAAATACCAGTTAGAGAGCTTTTATGGAGGTAATTAGAGTAATAATATTTCTGTAAACAAGGTAAAGGATTTAAATAATTTGGATGGTCCATTCTGAGTGACAGAAAGATGTTGGATGCAATAGAGAAAAAAATTACGCAAATCAAAATATTGACTGGTACACAAAAAAGTTGTGGCAGAAACGTAAAATACAGACTGAACTACAACTGAAATCACCCTACTAGACTTAGGTACTGTTTGACACACAGAGCTCGATTCAGTTCTACATTACATCTTGTTCTACATATATGTATTATAGCTTAAATCAGTAGAAAACTGGAGTAGCCCAGCAGCGAACAACATAAGCGTAGGTCCCACACAGAAACGCAGTAAGGAGCATTTCCATGGCAGGAGACTTTTAAAATGAGAACCTTAATGCATGTAGGTTCTCAGGCAACTGTTACAGAAAATGATGTGTGATTACGTCACTCTGCCGGAGAGTCACAGAGTCTGGCCTTTCAAAATGTGACAAAGCTGCAGGTTGTTTCACACAACCCTTAATTGCTCTTTGCCACGGCAATTATTTCAACCTGCCTTACCTCTCTAAAAATCCAACACTTCTTACAGCTCCTTCGGGTTGGGAGTCTATCTCCCACAAACACCAACGGCATGTAAGTTATATATAGAACAGATTGTACCACTGAGAGCCTGATCCAATTCCTGCAAAATGCCACAGGGGTCTTTTCATTAGTTTTAATAGAAAACAAGCTGGATCTCAGAAAAATGTTCTAAAAATGTCCCAAATCTCAGATTACAAAGCCCATTTTGCTTACCGTGAAGCCAATGGCAGAGCTCTCTTTTGTGTCTTTGTAGTAGAATCAGGTCTTAGGTTTTTGAAATTGCAGACACTGCAATTGAATTTGAATCGTTCCTCAAAAAGCTGGAAATGCAGTCACATCAGTATTGTTCTACTGGAAACTATTTGCTATCCAGAAGCGTAGTGTTGTTATGCACGGTAAATTAAATACACAAATAAACATATCAAAGTTTAAAAAAAACCTTTTTTTTTCCCATTTTTATTATTTAAGCTGTAGTTGTTCACAAATGTATAACAAAATGTTCAAAATTAATATTAACAGAATTGTTGAGTATATTAAAGTTCATTGCACTACCATGGTTCAATAATTTTTTTCTTGCAATCTAAATGTATAATTTATATTCTATTCTCCATAACTATTAAAAATTGTTTCAGTCTCTGTCCATTATATAATGATAGAATGCAAATTATTTCTGAAGCAACAGAATCTCCTGTCAAACACACAGAACCATTTGAATACATTTGAAATCAGACACTGGTTGCAATGTTTTTCTGAAGTGCCACTTCTGGATAATATCTTCTTTCTCAGCTACATATTCCATTCCAGCATGCATTACTCTTTATATTCAAGTGTGCCTGGAGCACAAGTCTTATGAGGAGCAGCTGAGGGAACTGGGGCTGTTTAGCCTGGAGAAGAGGAGGCTGAGGGGAGACCTCATCACGCTCTACAACTACCTGAAAGGAGGTTGTAGCGAGGTGGGGGTTGGTCTCTTCTGCCAAGTAACAAGCGATAGGACGAGAGGAAATGGCCTCAAGTTGCGCCAAGGGAGGTTTAGACTGGACATTAGGAAAAATCTCTTTACTGAAGGAGTGGTCAGGCCTTGGAACAGGCTGCCCAGGGAAGTGGTTGAGTCACCATCCCTGGAAGTATTTAAAAGACGTGTAGATGAGGCGCTTAGGGAGATTGTTTAGTGGGCATGGTGGTGTTGGGTTGACGGTTGGACTCGATGATCTTAGAGGTCTTTTCCAACCTTAATGATTCTATGATTCTATGATTCTATAACTCTATTATAAATTCATATTCTTATGTTATAACAACTGTATTTAACGGTAGGGGAAAGTGCTGCATTAAGCTATATTATCTAATCACCTTCCAAAACTACAAAGGGTGATTTTTGAAGATGAAAGGTGGTGTGAAAAATAGGCTTCATCTTCCACTGTAGTAAAAGTACTGTGATTCCAGGCGTCCTCGAGTTCTTCTGAGAATTAGTTCTGGATTTGTTAGCCAATTATTGAGGAAGATCTGTCTACGGTCTGAGACTGACAAACCGTAATTTGGTAATATATAAAGCCATAATCTTTGAAGCAGCTAGTTGCAAAGGGAGATCATCCTTCAACTAGCATAAGGTGGACTTCTGCTCTGTATCCTTGAACAATAACTACAAGGTGAATGCAAGAAAAATATTCCATTTAAACTGCACCTACACCGACCAGACAGACATCTGAAACAAATCTTTCCACACAAGTTTTTTTGTCTTGCTAAAAGGACAATAACTTTTAAGGGCTGAAGCAAAACGTTGGCCAGGGAAAAGAGCAACAAAAGCTGTAAAGAGGGAAATGTTAGAGAAAACTGCTCCGTTCCACAAGGGCTTCTGGAGATGAAGGTACTGTGAGAGAGATGGTGACAGGATGAGACCAATGGCAAGGAGAGGAAGGAAGGCACCAGATTTGCCTGCAATCTTCTGCTGACTTTTCCCCTTACGTCATTTCCCATTGCATTATGCAAGATGTCTTTCCTGCAATCTTTCTCCTTCCGCACATTTTCAAATGCAATACCTTTCCTTCCCTTCCCTCTTTCCCCACTTTGCATCTTCTACCATCCATCCTATTTGATACAGTCATTTACTGTTTCATCACTCATACTAACAGAAGCAGAATAAAACTTCCTACTCAATTAGGCTATGATTTTGGCAAGGATAAGGAACCTCTTAACAGGAGGCCTGAAACCCTACCATATCTATTATCAGAAAATGGTTTGTGAAACACCTGCTAATGACTGACAAAGAATGGAGAAATATTGCTTACATGCGACTTGATCTGAGTGTGCTGACTTAACCAAATACCCTAAACCTACAAACAAGTCCATCAACTACAGTGGGACTGTTGGTGTGCTTAAATATTTTGGTGGCTCAGGATACAGTTCCTTACAGCCCTGAATCCTTGCTATTAACTTTCCTCATTTTTTTCCAACTGTTAAATGGGATTAAAAAGGTAAAATAAACTAAATTGTTACATCCTGTCCTAATGTTATTCTGATCTCGGAGAAGTTATTGAAACACTCCTGAGAGGACATGTGCTAGTCGTGACTAAGAGGCAGAGATAAGGAGTCTCTCAGGTTTACTAGGGGTAAGATATAACAGATAGAGTCTAAACAACAATTAAAAAAAAAAAAAAAGTTTAAGGATATCCTGACTGCTGTAATATGAGTAGGAGTGATGGTGGGTATGGAGTAAATGACTGCTCCAAACAATGGTTTCTGGGTGTTGTATGCATACAAACAGGCAAAACGACATAACAATATCTC